AGCCCCGCATCGGGCTCCCTGCTCAGCGGGAAGCCTGCTTCTCCCTCTCCCACTCCCCCTGCTTGTGCTCCCTCTCTCGCTGTGTCTCTACCTCTCTCTGTCAAATCAATAAATAAAATCTTTAAAAAATAAAATAAAATATATTTCCCGTGATCCAGGTCTCGCTATATAAACATGATTACTCTGTCAACACTAAAATGCAGTCACATTCCAAACATTAACACAAATATCAAATTTATACAAAAAAAAGTTAACACTTTTAGAAACAAAACCAACTGAAGAAATATTTGAGTTCTGCAATGGCCTTTTCTACCCTTCCTTCCCCCTAAATTATTATGTCATGAATACATATAATTATTTTAAGCCAGTGATGCTACAATAGTGAGAGACGTTAATAATGATGTATTATATTCATTAAAAAAAGGTTAAAGCACTATTTTAAAGCAAACTGGACTGTCTCAATTCCTGTACTCCTCAACAGCCCTAGAGAGGTATTTCCACCAGCAAACCACACCTATATTTTGTAAATATTTTGTCATAATCATTGCTGATTTGTTCTGACCATCCCAATGTTTCTGGAAAGACATCACTGCTGCCAAGTTTTCCTCAGCATATCAAATTGTGCTCCCACATATGCTGATCAGTCACATTTCCTTCACAATCTAAATGCTACTAATACCTATTTTCTGAATCCACAAAAATGCCCAAATTGTGCTGGGACACAAAAGGGACTTTTTCCTTTGTTCACTCTTCCATTTGATAACCATAAAAAAAAAAAAAAAATTTTTTTTTTAAAGCAGAAACCTCTGCTTTGTGTTCTTGAGGTCACCTATTCTATTTAATAAAATCAACTTCCTTCCAATGATTTAAAAAGGTGTCAAGTTCTACCTGAAAACTACCAATACACACTTGCCAGGAGAAACTGGGAGCAGGATTCCTATAATCACAATCTTGGGGTGATTACCGAAGAGCAAAATTCAAAATTGTAATTTCTCTACATGTTAAAAGCTTTCTTTCTGTTATTTATTCTTAGTTCTTTTGAGGTGTTTACATTTAAATAACAGAATGGCCATAATGTAATGCTTAGCACTGTACAATTCAAATAAAAAGCAGCATAACTTTCCCATTCACATTTAAAAAATCACTTTTTTGGAGCCAAAACTATACCTGATGACAAAGATCTGAAATAAGTGCAGTTGACCATTTAGTAACTACCGAGAGTATACGCACCTAGCATAGAAAAATCAACTCAGAAGCAAAGTGAAACCAGAGCCATCAAGACCAGAAACCAAAAGCTCTTTATTCACTGGAAAAAACAATGACAAACTAAAAATGATCCTCTCGAGTTTTTTAAGAGTGAGTTTTCCTCTTCACTATTATTTCAAGCATACCTCTTAATGAAAAAGGGAGTGTATATGCAATAAGAAACTAAGTATGTTTGAAACTGAGATTCTTACTTTTGATTTTCTTCTTCTTCTGATTCTTCATGTTGGTCAAATAACTCCCACTTAGAAGTTGTTACAGCTGAGTGGAAGGGAAAAAAGGATGTAATTCCATAAGGTAAATTAGCATTTTTGCAGTAGCATAGAAGCCCAGCTTTAGAACTGAAAGTTTATATTACAGAAGTTATTTACAATTATCTATTTTTTGAATAGCCATTTCTATGCGCTAAATTTCTTTCTTTCCTCACACCTATGCTTTAATTTTATTCAAATTCATGGAGTGACAAATTACGTTACCATTCTTATTTGTGTGCTAGATGGTTAACATTTATTTCATTAGAACCTACAAATACTAGAACCTACAAATACTAACAATTACGATTATAAACACTAAGGACACATGTCCAAGTAATTATGAAAGGCAGGTCTAAACTGCATCTAATAAGTCAAGCACTATGGGAAGATCAAAGCCTGGTTTCTCTGAAAGTGACCTCTAAGTAGATTTCCAAATAGGTATACCTTCCCATCTACATTTTCTACTGAAATGCCTTAACCTGAAAAGTTTTAGTGACTTCTCGGATTTACTCTCAAAGCATCCAAACTGAAAGATCTAAGAAAATGGTAACAGCAACCATAATGAAAATTTAGCCACTAGACATAACTCTGGGTCTTAAGGTTGAAACATCATAAAATGCAAAAAGGAAACATACACACTAATGATTAATTTTAAGTACTCGATTTTTTAAAGCTTAATATTTATTGTACTTTTACTCACCCTGTGCTTCCAATTCAGATTCATCTACAGCTTCCCATTTTGATGGGGCAACTTTAAATATGGGCTCATTCTTCTTTGAGTCCTCAGTTGCATCCACTATTGAGGAAAGATAAGCCATTAACCCTGACTACTAGGGGTTGACTTAAGTAGTCCATGGGTATTCAATTATATTATTGAAAAGTAAAATAAAATAAGGCCACACATGGACTAATAATTGCTAGTGTCAAGAATTATGATTAATCCAATTCTCTACACCTGAGGTCCAATTTTTAAACATGTATGTGTCAATTCAGAATATACAAGTTGTTATGATTTCAAGCAAATGGAGAAGTTGGGGCAATAAAAAAATCTTTATTATCTCTACCTAATTACTGTTTAAACTACACAATTCTTTAACTGTTCAATCTTTTCATGTAATTCAAATGTACTAAAGACTGTGTACCCTTCTTATTTCCAAAAATGATTTTAGGCATCTAGGAAAACTGAATCCATAAACTATGAATAAAAAGAGAACTGATGAAATGAGGAATCTGGGATTATAAATAAAACTGAGCACAAGATTTCGCCTACAGTTTTCCTGAAAATTAAGACAAAAAGAGAAACTAATACTATACAGGGTTGACTATCCCAACAAAGAAATGTGACCAGAAAGAAAACCTTTTTCTTGGCAGAGTCAAATGTATTACTGGGTATTTGAATTTTGAAAAGTCAGAAATAGGGACGCCTGGGTGGCTCAGCCGGTTAAGTGGCTGCCTTCGGCCCAGGTCATGATCCCAGGGTCCTGGAATCGAGTCCCACATCAGGCTCCTTGCTCAGCAGGGAGCCTGCTTCTCCCTCTCTCTCCTTCTGCTTGTGCTCTCTCTGTCAAATAAATAAAATCTTTAAAAAAAAAAAGAAAAGAAAAGAAAAGTCAGAAATAAAAGAAAAAAATTAAAGACTGACACCTTAAACTTTTTCCATATCGGCATGTGTGGAAATTAAAGAGTTTTGGAATCCAACTTATTAGATCATCAGTTTGAAATCTGAACTTACAAGGCACTCCATCAAGATCATCATCAAGACTCTTTATAGGGACCCCATCAAGATCATCAATGGGAGTAGCGTCAATAGGAATTCCATCCACATCTTCTAGAGGTGCACCATCAAGCTCTTCCTCAATGGGGGCACCATCGAGGTCATCTGGTACATCCTACAGAAATATACATACTGTTGTAACATTTTCCTTTGCTTACTAGTCATACTGCTACAAGATTAATTTGCAAACCAGTAAAAACCAACCAGCTGGATACCCACATTCCCAGGTACAATATGAGGACATAACTAGGATATAATTTATCCTCCTGACAAAGAAGCAGTCATTCTTTCATTATTTATGAAATATCTACCAAGTGTTTACTGAAACCAGGTACCATGTAAGGCACTGAGCATACAATGATGAGCAAAAATGAGTTTGTCCCCTTAGTCCCTCCTGTAATAGGGCTTACTAGAATTTTTTTTTTTTTGCGGGGGGCGGGGGAAGCAGGAAATCATATAATCACAACATACAAAGAACTGCAACTATCATGACCACTACAACAAAGAGGTATATCATACTATTCAAGTGTATGATAAGTAAGTTTCACCTACAGAGGTCTGAGAAAGCTCAATGCAGTTATGCTTAAAGGATCTCTGGTAAACAGGAGATGTTTGAGAGAGAGGGAGGAGTATTTACAAAGGTCTATGGTAGAAGGAAATATATATTTAAGAAACTGAAATGAGGACCATGTGCTTGGAACAGGGGGGCCAATTAGGAGGATCTTGTAGGAGTGAAAGTGAAAATATAATTGG